TGGGCCTGGGGGGGGACGGGCACCTGCTTCAGGTGTGAGGGGAATGGCCCCCCCTTCCCTGTGCCCTAATCATACCTGAGCCTGGGGGGTCCTGGGGAAGGGCGTTGGGAAGGGGACCGGAGAAAGGAAGAGGCATCCAGGCAGGACCGAAGCACTAAGGGGTCTGGGGTGACCATAGGCAAGGTAGGAAGTGGGAGGAAAAAATATAAAAACGGGACATCTGGAAAGAAATACAAGAAATAAGAAGCCGTTGTTTTAGGAAAAGGAAGCTGGAAAAGACTGGGTCAGTGGGGGCGGAGGGAATGGGTTGGTCCCGGGGGGAGGGGCTAAGGCATATAGAGAGGGTACAGGAAGAGTCCCTGGAGGCAGAGGCTTGAACTGAGCTGTTCCAAGAAAGGCATTTCCATCCAGCCCCAGCCCCGGTGGAAGGGGACAGTTGCCTGCAGGCTACTGTGCTGGGAGGTCCTAAGTACCACTGTCTGGAACGCCAGCCTGGCATGGACCTAGAACCTCAGGCAAGTGGGGCTTCGGTGATGCCCCACGTTGGCACCTGAGGCTGGGGTCAGAGCTCCATTCAGAGCTGAGACCTGAATGAAGCATCTTTATAAGATTCTGTCAACCCTCCCTTCCAGAACAAGAGGACTGGGGACCCCAAGTCCCCCTCTCCTCAGTATTGTGGGCTCCCACTGAGGCACGTGAGACTTTATGGCCAAGCTTATAGGTGCAACACACAGCTGTGGGTTCAGGAGGCTGGTTGTGAAAAGAGACTGCAGATCGGACAGTGGGGGACGGGGCCGCACACCAGGACAGGAACGGTCTGGAAGTGGGAGCCAGTGAGCACAAGAGACGGGGGCGCACTGGTTCCCACTAGGGCAGAGGAACAGCTGGGCAGCATGGAACAAGGGTGGGGGCCACATGTCATAACTGAGAGCCAAGGAGAGGGCTGAGAAGGACCAGCGGCTGTGGGAGAGAACCTTCTAGAAACCGATGTGAGCTGGAAGGGCTGAAGGAAATAAGACGGGGAAGAGCTGCTGGCCTGGGATTGGAATCCAGCAGGGAATCCAGCAGGGATTGGGATCCACACAGTGAAAGAGCTGTGCTCAGGTGTAGACACCGAGTGCTCGCTTGTTGAGGGCTTGCTGGGTGCATTTTGATGCATTTCATCCTCACACCCGTCCTGTAGGTAAATGCTCTTATTTTTCCCACTTGACAAATGAGAAAACAAAGGAGCAGGCAGACGGGGTTGCCCAAGTCACAGTTTTATAAGTGGCAAAAGAAATACTCAACTGGCCAACTGCAGACTGTGCCCTTCCACACAGGGCGACTTCCTGCACACAGGTCCCCTCTAGCCTGGGTCCACTGTGCTATGGTTCAGGTCACTTGTTGGGAGCAGCTTTAATCTGGAACTTGGTGCTGCATCTGGAGTGTTTGGACCCCCTGAGAGTCCTCCTGGGGAAGATGGATGGACGGATGGATGGATGGATGGATGGATTGGAAGCAAGAAGGAAAGATTCAAGCAACAAGCCTCTAAGAGGGACCACATCTACACAGGGGTGCGGTGTGGACGTTTACCAGAGGGCAGCGATGCGCGAGGCCATGGAAAGTGGTTCACAGGAGAGAAGAGACTCTCACTGTCTCTGGTGGTTCTGGTAGCACTTGCCAAATAAAGCGATTGTCCTACAAGCAGTTGTCACCCTGAAGGTGATAGAAGTGGTGGAGGCCCTGGAAGAAAGATTGGACACAGCTAGCAAAGGGCAGCTGGAAATCTCAGAGCAGCTGCCAAATGTGACATAAAAGGTCTTTAAGATGCCCTTTCCACCTCCTCCAGGAAGCCTTCCCAGAATGTCTGTGTTCAGCTCTGATCTCTTCCTTCCTCTGTTACCCCTTGGCTGTGCCTTGCCAGCACCTCCATGCCTGTATCATCTACTGAGAGAGACAGAGACAGAGAGATAGAGAAAGAGAGAGATCTCAGAGGGGGCCGCCCTGCATCAAGGCAGGGATTTGCACACAGTGCAGATGGGGCTGGGGGAGCGTATTGCTGAGGGATGCGGGTTTCACCCCCCAGGACCTCCAGATCAGCACCACGATTCTCAGGCACTCATTGAGGAAGAGCTGGCTGGAAGCCCCAAGATCTCTGAGTAGAGATGAGGAGGTTCAGGCTTCGCAGCCAGCGCCCCTCACCCTAGGTGAGTGAGAGGTCAGAGAGGAGAGGGAGGGGGCAGGAGCCAGGGTCTGGGCAACATGGAGGCTGGGGCCAGCCTGGGCGCGCCAGGGAGTGAAACAGCATCTCCTCCAGCTGGCACCCTGTGGCGGGCACAGAGCCTTGTTCCAGATCATTCCACACCCTCTGCACTAAAGGGAAGTCTCCTCTGGAGCCGCGGAAAAGGAAGGTGCAGCACCTGGGGCTGCTGGCAGAGGGCAGTGTGTGTGCACAAAATCCAGGCTCCAACGCGTTCCCTCTCCTGCTTAGAAATCAGCAGTTCGTGACCACATGGGAATGTGTTTCAATGCGAAGACCCAGTGCCCCCTGTCCTGCACTTAACCCCTCTCAGCCAGGTCCTTGGGCACAGTCCTGCGGTGGACTGATGGGTCGTGAACCAGTGCAGAGCCGGCATAGAAGTCCCCTGCACGGGCAATAATATTGTAACAACCAACATCTGCTGGCTGCAAACTATATTCCAGGCAAACTGTAGTTCTTCCCTGATCCTTTTTCATTTATTCCTCTACAATGAGAATCTTGTCAGTAACGAAGTGTCCTGTCTGGAAGCATGGGCTCTGCAGCTGGGCTGGCGTTCGGTTCCCAACGCTGCCATTTCTTAACTAGGTGACATTGGATGGTTTCTTTCACTCCTCTGAGCCTCAGTATTCTCATTAGTAAGATGTGCATTATGATCATTGCATCTTGTAGCAATAACACCTATATCAGATTGTTGGAAGAATTAACTGAGTTGCCGGACGTAAAGTGCTCAGGAGAGTTGGGGTCGAGAACAGTGCCTGTCATAGGAAAGGCTCAGTGATGGCCAGCTTGTGTCGATCCTATCTTGCAAGGGCAAGATCTTGCACGAGGGCCACAAGTAGCCATTAGATGTAGCCAGGATGGGAAGCCACGCTTATGACACTCGACTGGTATGCTAGCAGGGGGACCGTTTGCCTGAGACAGGCTGGCTTATGCCTGTCATCTGACCATCCAGTTTAGCAAGTGTCCAGATCCAAAGGGTTCCAGATTGCTTGATAAGCTATATAAACTTCATATACATGGATGTCTATAAAACTCAAATTTATTAACACAAGTATGTTTCATTACTCACAAACCAAGTCATCAGGGCACCTGTGTATACCCCAAGCCCCTTCTCCCCAGCGAAGGTGGACTAGACTAAGCCATGCATTCTTGCAGCAAACGTGTATTGAGTCCCAACTGTGACGCAGACTGGGGACCCTGAAACACGGGGCTGAGAGGGAGTGGGGTGAGGTGACACACGTGTGTGCAACTACCAGGACACCAGGAAAGTAAAGCACCAACTATAATGCAGATTCTGGAATGGTGCTGTGGATGTGTGGGGCTGTGAACCAGGGCAGAGCACAGAACCATCCAGGCCTCCATTTGCTGGCCTATAAAGTGAGGAGACAAGGAGGGATGCCTGGGTGGCTCAGTCAGTTAAGCATCCGACTCTTGATTTCAGCTCAGGTCATGATCTCACCTTTCGTGGAATCAAGCCCATGTCGAGCCCCATGTCGGGCACCATGCTGACAATATGGAGGCTGCTTGGGATTCTCTCTCCTCTCTCTGTGTCTCCCCTACTCACATTTGTGCTCTCTCTCTCTCTCTCAAAATGAGTAAATAAACATTTTTTTTTTTTTAAGTAAGGGGACAGGGAGAACTGTCTGGCCACCAGCTCTAATGTTCCCTCTCATTTAATGTTCAATGACTTTGATGGAGTCTGCCAGGAGGGACCAGAAAAAGCATGGACGTGGGAGGTGGCATTTCAGCCAGGCCACAAAGGATGAGCGCGGGCTTTCCCTAAATGGGGCACGGGCACCTGCAAGTGAAAAAATCATATTTGCAAAGATCCTTGGGTATGAAAAGTCCTGGCCCGCTGGAAAGAAAAACCAAGGTTAAAGCTAGGGATGATGTGGGAGGAGAAGGCGTCATTGGGCACCTCGAATGCCCCCCTCAAACAAGGCTCATCCCTGGAAGGCGGTCTCATTCTTAGCACCTTGCTGGAACCAACGGTGGGAACTGAATCCCAGAAAACAACACCCCTGCAGAGACACGCGCGTGCCTCAGAGAGCACCCTTCTTCCTTCACTTAATTTCCACTCGTGGCAATCATCACTGCTTGACCGTGTGTTGTGGATGTCTCTGTTAGTTGCGTGGTTTCACTCTTCTCATAGGCTGTAAGCTCTGTTGAGAACACAGTCTGTGCCTGTTTGTTTACTCCAGTATTCCCAGTACCTGAAGACTGGTTCGGTGAGCCGCTACTTTCTGCACCCAACAGATCCGACGCATCCAGAAACGTACACACAGGCAAGCCTCAAACTTTGGGGTGGAAAAGAATCGGCTGGAAAAACAGAAAGAGGCCCTCGGTGGGGCAGCGGAGTTAAGGTGGGTTGGCAGGAGAGTGAGGAGGTAAGGAAAAAGAAGGAAATAAGAGGCACTTAGCATGGGTGCCTTTGAGAACCCGGGCGAGAAGCCACGCCGAAGCTCGCGTGCCTGAGCGTCCTGGCGTGATCGCGATGTGAGCCTGTCTGCAACAGGGGTGATAGTGCCCACCTCACACTGTGTGCACAGGTGCCCCAGTGCCCTGGAAGCAGAGCCTGTCCAGAGGCATGTCAGAAACAAACCCCAGCTGCTGACCAGGAGCCGCCCTCAGCAGTACCTACCTGGCCACAACCAGACGGCAGAGACCCCACGTCCGGCCTGGCACCCCAGAATTAGACCGAGGAACTTTAGAAGGGGCGCTGCCAACGTCAACTTCCTGGGCAACAGATTCAACACGGGAATCAAATGGCACTGATCATTTATTGCAGGAGAAGCGGAGAACCGGACATGACCCGAAGCAGAGGACAGAGAGACCCCCTGGGCCGCAAAGGCCCAAGAAAGGCATGGGGACAGAGGGGCTCACACCTGGCCAGGGGGAAACCTCCTACGTAGATGCGTTATCTCTGCACTGGGGGCAGCGACCCAATGATAAATGGCCAAGAAGGAGGTCACCGAGAGCACTCGTGACCGGACTTCCCACAAAAGAGCGTGCACCACCCGGACCACAGGGACAGGGGACGGCTCAGGGACTGGGGCTCCAGAGGAAGCACTTCAAGGCTGGGACAGGGTGGGGGCGGGCAGGGAGTGGGGGTGGAGCAGACGGGTTCTGCAGCTTTCTGCGCACAGCCCTTCATCTCGAGGCCTTTTTGGTTGCACAGCTGCTGCCTGAGGTCTTGGGCAGGGGATCCTTGAACTCGCTGCCGCAGTTGCCTTTGGTTTTGACGTCCACGGCCGCGGGTTTAAAGCCGTAACTGCTCGAGGCGCCGAAGCCCACGCTGAAGCCAGCCCCTCCTGCCCCAGCGCCAGTGCTGCTGATCACAGCTGGAACAGGGGGGAAGAGAAGACCCCTGGCCTGTGGCATCCCGGCCACTCCTTCAATTCCCTCCCCCTGGGGACAGATTCTCTCTGCAGTGTGCTTTTAGTTTACAAAGAGGTTTTCAGCAGCGCTGATCATTTTTCAAGTATTTGGCCGCACGTATTAGACCCTGTCCTATCTGTCTGCGTCCATCCACCAGCGACAGACTTAGAGCTCCAGCGAGCTCTGGCAGGGACCTTCCCCCACAGGAACAAAGACCCTTCGGTGCGGCCCCCAAGGAAGGGGCTGCTGGAGTACCCCCCCCCCACACAGTAACTCCCCTGCACCGTCCCTAGCTTTCCAGCCTGTTTCAGCTCCTTCCACAGTCCTGCCCTCAGGCTCCCCCCAGCCCCCACCACCCCCAGCACCACTACCCACCCCCCACCCCCCGCCCCACCGACTGCAAGCTAGAGCCTTGATTGTGCGCTGGTCTCAAGATCAATAGAATGTCTCCAGGAAGCCTCATGCTTACAAGAGGCGTTTGGATTATCCACTACTGGGCATCATTTGATCTTTCCATGGATTGTGCTTCTGTCTTTCACGGTATTATTATTTTTCTCCATCCGCTGCTTCTCATTGGCTACTAAAGCCTCTTCACACCCCTACATCTGTCCTGGACCCTCCCTGCTGTCCTGACTTCTCTCTGGTGTCATGGAATTGGAGGCTCAGACTTCTGGTAGGTGACCAAGGGCAGAACCAGGTCCTGGTACTTACAGATGCTCACGGAACTGGGGTGTTCCCCGGACATCCTGGAGAGAGAAAGTGGGGGAGGCAGATAAACCCTCTGTAAAGCAGCGCTGCATCTATCCAGGGGGGTCACAGGGATGCCCCTCAGAATGCACACTGCCCATCCATCCCTTCTTCCCACACACCCCAGCGTGACCTCTCCGGAAAGGAACAGAGACAAAAAAAATCTGCTGTGAAGGCTCCCTTCTCCATCAGAGCGGCTCTGGAGTGGTCTGGTGGCTGGAGTGATCATGTCCCTGCTCCCCTCTATTATGCCAGTGGTCTCACACAGTCAAGAGGAACGAGTTCACATCCTCGCAGGGCCTCAGGCTTTGCCAGATTTACCTTGCACTCAGATGACTCTTGGAAGCCATCCTGCCCGCCCCCTCCCCCGACTCACCCTCAAGCGCGCAGCACAAAGGGCCAGGGACACTCTGTTTTGCAACCGCTACAGATGTTAATATTTCCTCTCCCACTACCTCTCTGGGATTTTTACAACTCAGTCCTTCCTAGAGTCTAACTTTGGTCTTTCCTACTGCACCATGTCAAACCCATTGCCTCAGTAGGACCTGAACCGACCCAAACTGTTTGCCCTGAATCTTCCTACTCACGCAGACGGGAAACTGTTCCAGATTAGAGATATCTGGCCCCCCACCTGCACTCTTCACCCTCGAGCAGCTTGCGGTAGGTGGCGATCTCCACGTCCAGGGCCAGCTTCGTGCTCATGAGCTCCTGGTACTCCCGCAGCATCCGGGCCAGCTCCTCCTTGGCCTGGTGCAGGGCGGCCTCCAGCTCATCCAGCTTGGCCCGGGCGTCCTTCAGGGCGCAGTCGCCCCGCTGCTCGGCATCGGCGATGGCCGTCTCCAGGTTAGAGCACTGCGGAGCAAGTGCATCCAGCGCTTTGAGCCAGAACGCAGTTCTGAGATCCTGCTCAGACACCTTCCCCTCATTTGGTCCTGACCGATAGCAAATGCTCTGAGGTCCTCCCAGTGTCCCCCGCTTTGGACATTGCTACAGATGAATCTGTCCTTTCTCCTAACTCCAGCGTGGCTCCCCTCCGCTCATGCGTTGGCATGTGAAGCTGGAGCTTCCCTACCTTGGGAGAGAGGAGGAAGGGCACTGAGAAGGCGAGCTCCCTGGGCCTGTGGCCCCTGCCCTCTCCCTCCTGGTCTGTAACACTGGCTGCAAGATTCTAATGCCAACCCAAGACAAAAACCAAAAAAAAAAAAAAAAAAAAAAAAAAAAAAGAGAGGGATTAATAAAGTTCCTTACTGATGAAATTTCTGTCCAGTAAACCTGCCACACTGAGTCTGGCCTCCAAAATTCCCCAGAGCATCACCCTAGGGGAGTAATAGCCTCAAAAGATACTCTTGTTACCAGGTTTCCCAAGCGGCCAGGCAGCTGCTGTCAGGTGGAAGGCTAACGTGCAATATAAAACTGCAGATGAGGCTCTGGGCTGCGGCCATGGTCCCGGACGGCTGCCGTGGGCTTTTGGACCTCTTAGTCTTGGTGTGCGTTCCATCACTAGGCCAAGGTTTTGGTGGGATCTAAAACTCCGGCCTCTCTGTTCTGGTGGGTCCCCTTCCTCTGCAGTCAGATTTGCTTCACCCCAAGGAAAGCAGCTGACGCTAAGGCCAGACGGAATTCTAGACTGCGGTCCAGCCGGCACCACCCCTGTGCCGGGCAGGCCCCCAGCCGTGCAAACACCCATAGTGTTTCGGGTGAGTGGCTCACAGCCTCAGGACCCAGCCACCCGACCACAGAAGACCACGTCCCATCCTCGGGACTGTGGAGGTCTCATCATTCAGGGCGTGGCAATACACTCTGTTGGGCTGGGGCAGGGCCTTCCTGTCTGACAGGAAAGTGTGCCAAATTCTGCCAAGCTGGCCTCTGCTCCTTTTCACTGACTGAGGTCCCGCACGGTGAGCCCAGGAGGCTTCTGGGTCTCGTGAATGTGGCGTGAGGGGAGAGGGCATGAAATTGGGGCATCCTTGACAACAATCATCCCATGGATCCTGGGGTCAGCAAATGTCAAGACAGTCTGCAGGTGAAACTATGTGCTTCTTTGGTGGGAAGGCCAGAGGGCCAGAAAGCACCCTGAGTGAGGGCCCTCTGGAGGAGCTTCAAGGGGACCAAGCATCGAGAGTGACTCCCATGGGCTCCCCCACGGAGGACATCTTCCCTGACCTCCTAGGTGGTGTTCTGATTGCAGACGTCACTTTCTGGTAATAAGCTCACCCAACCGTGAACACACGGCATTTTGCCAGCTACACATTATAATCTGATACTTGAGGGCGGCTTCAAACACCTTGTTGTTTTTCTTTCATGTATGCAGACCTTGATTAAATGAAAAACGCCATGAGTTCTTGTGTAATGTGGTCTTTTTTCTTTCAGCTGCCAGGAGCCTGGTGCACAGAAGAAGAGCGCGCGTGTGTGTGTGTGTGTGTGTGTGTAGGGAAGGGAGGGGGCTATAAAGAAGAGGACAAGGGGACAGGGCCACTTGACTTGCCCAGGAAGCCTTTGTGCCAGCCTCCACCAACTCTGGGAATTTCCTGGGTTTGCTTCCTACAGACTCAGATAACCCAAATGATGCACCTGGGGTCATGGGGTCACTCAGTGCCAGGCCACCACACACAGCACTGCCACAGCAGGGTGCGAACACAGAGCAGAGCCCTAGGCCAAGTCTACGCTGGAAAGCTCTTCATCTCCCATTCTCCTAGATTCCACTGCTGGGCTCTCCTTCCTCTGGCACCGATTCATCATCACATGAAACCTCCTTTTCACCTACTGTGTCGGGTCTAAACTCCACTGCCCAGCTTCACAGGTGCCCATAATCTGCCCCGTGCTACCTGGTGGGGGCCCGCCCCCTCGCACCCCACCCATCACAGAACTTGTGCTTGAGCTAGGTGCCTCTCACCCCTGCACACATGCCATGCAGCGCCCACCTTGGATCCATTGCTCATGCCAGCTCCCTCACCAGGACCCCTTCCCTCTCCTATCTGCCCATCCCCTCCCACCTCCTGTAGGAAGCCTCCCTGGGGTCTTCATTCCGCTCTGGCCACTCCGGACCCCTACAGCCCTTAGGAAGCATGTTTCACAGTGGGTGGAATGCTTCATCCTTCTATACGGGTTCAGACTATTCTCTCCTCCTGGACTGTAAATGCCCTCAGGAGGGACCATGTCTTATCCTTGGTCCGTATTTAGCCTCATACCCTTGGTGCCCAAGACAGCCCGTCAGCCGACTCATTTCATGGAACCCACCTGCTTCTTCACATTCCCTATCTCTGAGCGGATCCTCTGGATCAGGCGGTTGAGCTCTGAGATCTCAGCCTTGGTGAGTTTGAGGTCGTCCCCTTGCTGGCCCGCTGTGACCTGCAGCTCTTGGATCTGACGTTGGGGGGCGAGAAGGAGGAGCAGAGGACCATTGGGCATTCACCTCCCAAGGGTCCTGAGCATGGAGAGGGGGAGGGGGACCACATGCTGTTCTCACTGCCCAAGCAGCAAAGGTACTAGGAGGAGAGATGGGGGGGGGGGAGGGACTAGGAGGGAAGGAAAAGGGGAGAAAGACCACCCTTTCCTTTCAGACAGGAAGGCCCTGCTCCAGCTCAACAGGGTCCTCAGGTCCACAAGGGTGAGAGCCTTAGTGGAGTTCTACGAAGTTGGGAACACAAAGAAAAGCCAAGATGGATGGATTACCCACAGAAACTGACAGAGTCTTCCCTGGGTTGTGGCTCATGTGACCTCTGCTGTCAGCTAGGGCCAACAGCCAAGCCCATATATGCCCCTAACACATGCCAAAGCTGTGGTTGCCCTCCCTGGACCACAGGGGGGCATTTCCACAAGGCTCAACTCCAAGACAAAAGAGGTCTCAACCCAGCCCAATACACACACACATGCACATGCACATGCACACGCGAGGAGAGAGTGGCAGCCGTAGTCACTGGGCCTTGCACACCCGGCACACAGCCCACCTTGGTCTGGTACAGGGCCTCGGCCTCGGTCTTGCTCTTCAGGGCGATCTCCTCGTACTGGGCGCGGACCTCGTCGATGATGCTGTCCAAGTTCAGGTCCCGGTTGTTGTCCATGGACAGGATGACAGATGTGTCGCTGATGTGGGACTGCATCTGAGCGATCTCCTGGACAGCAGTTAGGGAAGTGGAGCCAGTTAGAGGATCCCCATGAAGAGAGCACATCTCCCAACCCTCCCTGGCCAATCCCTCACTGCCCTCCCTCAGCCTTCCACAGAGCCTACCAGTGCCGGTGTGTGCCAGGCACGAGGGGAGCGCGTTGGGCTTTCAGCCCCAAGGTGGGACTGCCCTCTCCATCATGCACTCGGACCTGCACCTACCCCTATTCCACACTCTATGACTTCATCCGGAATATTAGATCTGAGCGTGGCACACAGCTTCTCTAGGATCACCGGCCACCTTCCCTTCCCCAGGCCCCTCACGGTTTAGCACAACTCAGGCCACGCATCCAGCTCCCTCAGGCGAGACCCCCGTGCCATTCTCAGCACCCCCTGAGATTTTCCTCATCCTTCTCTGGGAACCTTCCCTGGCGGCTCAGGCAGAACTCCCTATACTTTCCTCTGCTCCCCGCCAGAGCTCATCTGCAGGTTGTTTTCCCTATCGGACTGCGACTTCCTGGAAGACAGGGATCATTTATTCTCCATCAGGCCCTCCTCAAGCCCACCTCATGGCTCAGCAAACGTCAGCTGCACTGAGCTGCCAACCTTCGGTCGACACGTCCATGCAGGCCGAGGGCCAGAAGCCACTTGTGAGTAGCACAGACCACACAGGAGAGCTCAGCGATATCCTTACCCCTTCATAGAGGCACTTGAAGAATTTGATCTCATCCGTCAGGGAGTCCACCTTGGCCTGGAGCTCAACCTTGTTCATGTAGGCGGCATCCACGTCCTGGGGGACACAGAGAGGAGCCAGCTGCCTTCCCCAGCCCTCCCTCCCTGCCACAAGGAGCCTCAGGTTCCCTACGGGCTCTACTCCCCTCTCCCTGGCCTCCACAGGGAGGCCCGGCTGCTGAGAGCAAACCAACCAATGCGCGGGGCGATGGCCATGCCAGAAGTGTGGCGAAATGTGTGGTCTGGAAGCTGGCAGGTTCTGGGAGCATGCATCCCAGGCAAGGGGACTGAGGAGAGCAGGGAAATTAGAACCCCGGTCACCCTTTCCTCAGCCTACCGACATCACTGTGTCAGATGTTCAGGGAGCTTCCCTAGGCCTCCTCCAGCCCTTCCTGCTCCCCTCTTACCTTCTTGAGCACCACAAACTCATTCTCAGCAGCTGTGCGTCGGTTAATCTCCACCTCATACCTGTGTGCGGCAAGAGGACGGAGGTGGCGTTGCCATCGGGATAATTCAGTTCTGCAAATGCTCCCTGAGCAGTGGGTGATCACCTCCATGCCCAGAGCTGCGTGGCAGTGGCCTACAAACTGGGGTTCACGTACCCTTGGGGGCATGCACAGCCTTCTAAAGGGGACGTGACGGGAACAGGTTTAAAGGAATTCACATCCAGCTCCTTCGTTCACATGTGACCTATCCTGCTGTGCAGCTGCCCTAGAATGCACCTGTGGGGGGCTTCACTGTCCCTCCTCTGTTTCACAACTACCCCCACCCTCCTGACAGCAGAAAGACGCACCCCTTCTGCCATCCGGCCCCTTAGCACAGTGCATTAGCCCATGGTGCAAAACGTCCCAGGCACCAAACAAAACATTATCCGCACCTTTGAGTTGTTTCTACTGGGTTTTTTTTTTTTTTATATACATATATCTGTTCCAGATGAAACAAGGTCTTAGAAACAGGATGCTTGGGGGGCGCCTGGGTGGCGCAGTCGGTTAAGCATCCGACTTCAGCCAGGTCACGATCTCGCGGTCCGGGAGTTCGAGCCCCGCGTCGGGCTCTGGGCTGATGGCTCAGAGCCTGGAGCTGGCTTCCGATTCTGTGTCTCCCTCTCTCTCTCTGCCCCTGCCCCGTTCATGCTCTGTCTCTCTCTGTCCCAAA